TTTCTGGGCTTGGAGCTCCCCAGTGCAAGTTCCTTACATTTGATCGCATTCATCGCAGAGCCGTTCGAATTGTCGGCGATCGAGCTCTTTCTGATCGGCTTGACTCACTGACACTGCGAAGGGATGTGCATCTCTTTGCGTATTTTATCGCATTTAACACGGGAAGTGCTCTGAGGAATTGTTCGGACCGATTCCAGCCGCACACTTTCACCATCGCACATCGCGGCAAAACTCGCGATACCATCCATACCATCTGGATGGTTAGCGGTCCACCACTATGCGATTTTTTCAAAGAAGTTTCCTTCCTCGCACAACTTCCCTGTGAAATCTACTACCACCAGAGATTCCCGAGATTTCCGGACCCATACGACTTAGGGACCTTTAAGAAAAGAGCCTATTCCTTTTTAAAAGGCCGACAACGCACCTGCAATTCCTCTGGTGTTGCGGTTGATCATGGGCGGCGGTAATAATTTATCATCAGCTAAGCCGTGTGCTCGTTTACCCCCTCTCCAATAAAAAAATTGTCCAGTTACTTTAAATACAAAGCATAGGTATTAAGTATCTTGGAATAATAGATCTTATTTTTAAATTTAAAAATCACATAGACCAGCTGTGCAGTAGAGTCCATAAACTAAAGTTTGTTTTTAAAAAGATTCGTTCTTTTGCTGATATTAAGGTAGTAAAGCAAGTATATTTTGCATTATGTTAATCAATTCTCACCTATTATAAACTTCATGGGGAGGAGCAGCTAAAAATACAGTGCTGCCACTAGAACGCGCTCAAAGAACGGTGTTAAAAGTCGCAACATTCCGCCCTATCTTATTCCCGTCCCATCTCTTATATAAATCCTGTAATGTCCTCTCAATGTGCCGATTATTCGTTATGAGTACGTTACTTTAGCACTTAAAATTGCCCTACAGAAAAGAGGTCACTGTTAAAAGACGCAAAGATAAATAATTATTTGAAAATAACGTTAGAATAAGGCACTCTTTCATGCATAGATTTTTTACATTCCCTGGCCCTTTTTTGTATAATCAAGTCATTGAAGTTTTGTAAATTTATTTATTAAAAATGACAGATTGTAAAAATGTAATTCGAACCTGGTTACAAAATTTATCATACGATGACTCGGAAGCGTTGCTGATTGTATATTTTGCCGAAATTAACCCTAATAGTATATAATAATAATAATATATTATTTATTTATTGATCAAAAGTAAGAAAACATTTAAAAGTTTTACTACCTAATACAAAAATAATATTGTAAGAAGGACAATGAAAGGGTTCCGACTAAGCATGTGTTGCAGAGAATCTACAACGCTGTTATTCTGTCAGCATCCGTATACTTAATTAACTATAGTACGTGAGCGTAATATAGTCATCCGGTTAATATGTTCACTTTATTGTAACTCAAAAACTACAGCCTTGTTTGCATATATGGCTCTGTGATACGATAGCTCTTCATCGGTCAACAAAATACTAAAGGATCTAAAGGGCGGAGCTTTATCGACGTTAATTTGACAGTTGATATTATAGTAAATATTTTAGTTAATTTTAGTCAGTGATAGTTAATGTTTCTGTCCTCATTTTTTTACAAAGCTTGTTTGCTATTTTTTTTTCTTAATAATATACCAGTTATAATATACGACTTTGTGTTTTTGCCTCTGTCATTCTCTTAGTTTTGGTTTTAAAGGGCGGCAAAGCTTAAGGTACATCACTGATTATATTATAAATTAATAGCAATACATTTGTTTGATTTTTATTCGGCCAGTACAAGAACTATTTAATCAAATATACCAGCGTCAAATAGCGGTTCATGTGAGTGGCAGAGAACTGGAGACCTTTTTTACTGGAAAAGAGGCATTCCATCTTGGTCCTCAAGGCTGACAACGTATCTTCATTTTGATTCGCAAACGAGGGTAGATGTAGATGTCTATGAGCCACAACAACCACTTACCATCAGGTGGACTGTGTGCTCGCCTATCACCCTTTTCTTTTTTTTTTTTTTTTTTTTTTTTTTTTTTTTAAACTATAAAAATTTTTGGGGGGGTTTTCCCGTTTACAACTTGTTTGGACTGTGGGTTCTTCTAAAAACCAGTACAGGAAGTTTTCATATTGTTACTATTAGTTGTTTAATAATTAATATTAATGTGCAAAAGATAAACATAATATAACCAAAATATAAACGAAGTATAAACAAACCATATGTAAGAAACAGAAAATAATAGTAAGTGTATTAGCATATATCTACACCAGAAATAAAGGTTTATTTTAGTCCAGGTACCTGTTATTATAGACTATATTAGATTAAGGCATTTTTTGAATTAATTGAACAGGTTATTGAAATAGAAAAATTAAATTAGTTAGATATAACTATAAATATACATGTTCCGTGCGGTACTCAAACCCGCGATCTTCGGCGCCGCCACTCAATATGCTAAGCCACGCTCGTTCACGCCTCGTCGCCTACTATTATGTCATAATCTGTGGATGTCTATTTTCAGCAGTGGACTTTCAATATGGGTTAGGAACTAATGAATAATATTACCTGTATATGTCCGATAAATATATTTATGAGTGTAATGGAGTTTTATTATTCAGTTTTCACGCTTTTCCGGACGTCTGAATAATCTGAAATTCTATAGACGTTTTGAAAACTGAAAACAATGCAATAATTTCATGACTTTGACCTGGTATTCTCATTAGGATATCACACCTCATTATCAATGCGTCTTGTTTACGTTTTTCAAATTCTAATATTATTTTTTAAGTTCTAGGTTAAAATTTCGTTCAATGAGATTTAGTGTAAGTATGCAGGTGCGTTGCCACCCCTGAGGACTACAATGAAATGGCTCGTTTCCAGTAAAAGGGGTATCCTGTTATCTACACTCACCATACGAAACACAGCAGCATTAAGCTGCTATTTATCGAGGGTATTCTGTGAAAGTGTGGTCCTTCTCTGGTCTAGCCGACCCATTCGTGCTACAACCATAACCTAGCTGCAGTATATCTCTACCACGTGAAGATATTTTTTTAGATTTTATCGCGTTTAATTTCCTTCGAATTTTTTAAAAAAAATATTGAACCAGTTGTAACAGGCATTTCATTTCAGGCACCGGGAGTGAAAAGTCATTTTGATTTTTAAATGTGGATGTCCATGATCTATCTATAGCAGTCACTTACTATTAGGTCGACGATGTGCCCGTTTGTCTCTCTTATAGTTTTTGTAAAAATGACTAAAAATAAACAAAAAAAAAATCGAGTCGTGAAAACCGCCGTAATAAAGCAACGGGGCGAACTTTTCTCTACTTAAAATTCCAAGGAAATGAGAAAAGGCCTGTCCTATTATTTTGCAATTATTTAACTTTTCATAATGCATACATTTACCTATTCTTTCCCCAGATGCAAGTTCGCGAATGCAGAGCATGAAGGTTATAGTTACTGTTATAAGTTAAGTGAACGTTTACTGCGCTCGACCTAATTCCCGGGTAGCCGGACGAAGTCGGTTGAAAAATATCCGTTCCGCATAAAACCGGGTAAAATTTCAGCCCGTCTACAATGATTTACTGAAAACGGAACAAAATATGGCAATTTGTAAATTACAGGCACTAAAACTCTAGCTTTACTGTTTTATTGTGCGGTTTTTTTAAGTAACGTTACCACCACACTAGGATTTTCTTTTATATCGTGGAGGTAGTTTAAATGTATAAATTTCACAGAAACAAACATCCAAACCAAGAACTAATTTAATCTAATTTAATTATTTCCATTTCTAAGTATATATAATACATACAAAAACAATCTGCCGACTGTTTGTCGACAGCCAATCTCGTAGATGGATACACAAATTTATGTACTACTTACGAGTATATGAATAACATAAAAAAGGAAAAATAAAATAAACAACACGTACGTAACGTCCTTAGTTAGATAAAAAAATTAAACAAATAATAATGAAGTTTTGATTCGTTATACAACTATGGACACAGATACAAGTAATGCTTTCTCTGGATATTTTTCACGTTATTTTTATATTTTTTTATTAAATCATGATTGAGGTAAGTAGCTGATTAATAAATACGGGCGTTATCCCTCGTCTTTCACGTTTTCCATTATAACTTTTGACATTTGGAACATACAGATTAGATGTTTTAGCTAGGCTTGTAGAGTTTTATATTGTTCAATTAAGACTTATCTTGTATACGTACTTGTTTCGGGCGGGATTCGAAAGCGCGGCTCTCAGCGGTTCAACTCAATGTACAGCCTCTGAGTCACAGGGCCATCTTTGCTACAATAATTTTATTTTTGATACTATGATCGCACGATAAGAACAGAGTTATCAAACTGAAATTCTTATTCACGTTGCACACTAACATCATGTTTGTTGTAAACAAATTAAACCAAAAATAATTTTTAAAGATTTTTTTCTTACATATAAAAGTCCACTGCTGAATAGCATATGGAGGTTTTTGCCACAGTTGCCACGTTTGGCAGGCGAGTTGGCAACCGCAGTTTTTTATTTTAAATTTCTATCAGGAAAGTTTTTTTTTATAGAATAAGGGGGACAAAAGAGCACACAGTACACCTGATAGTAGAAGGAAAGAAGAAATCTACATTTATTCTCAACTAAAATTCAAAATACAGAGGCGGTGAAATGCAGATTATTCCATGTTAGATATCAGGTGTGTTCCTGAGAACTAACATGGAAACATTTTCATTTCATTCCATCTTAGTCCTTAGGGGTGACACCCTTGAGAACTGACATGGAATCCCACGTTCCCAGTAAAAGCAGTCTCCGATTCTATACACTCACTATACGAAAGATCAGCGTTAAGCTGCTATTTTATGCTGGTATTCTGTGAGAGCGTGGACCTTCCCCGGTCGAGGCGACTCATTCGTGTTACAACCATAGTATAGCTGCAGTGGGGCTCGTAAACGTGGTAACGTTTAAATTATAATGATGATATAATATCGCATTAAAGGCGCATTATTGTTTGCAGGTGCATGTGTAGACGCTGGTGTCCCGGTTGGTGCAAGAAGTCTACTGGGTCTTCTGTCTCCGAAGGCAGTGAGAAGCACGACACAAACCAGCAGGTAAGGAAATATTACAGTTCTGTATTTATTATAACGGAAATACATGGAGCTGTATGTAATAAAATAGCTTTGGTAGTCAGGGGTTAAATGCTCAATGTAAATTTCACAGAGCACGCCGGTTCATCAGCGGCACTGAAAATTTCGGGAATCAAGGAAGTGACACAACATTACTATTTAAAAATGTATTTATTGCTTTTCGAAGTATGCTCCGCGAAATTTGACACATTTTTCCATACGATGGAACCAATAATTGAAGCAACCATTCCATTCGGACGTTGGGGTCTCCAAAATGGCCGTTTTGTAGGCGTCCACAGCTTCTTCAGGTGATGAAAATCTCTGTCCACGCAATTTATTCTTTATTTTAGGGAAAGTATAGAAATCATTACTTCTTAGTCGGGGCTATACGGCGGATGATCTAATAATTCTATGGTTTCTTGCTCTAAAAACTCTTTTGTTCTGTGTGCGGTGTGAGAACTCGCATTGTCGTGATGGAGGATGATGCGGCGGTTGCAGTTCTCTTTACGGAGTTCTGAAACGACCTGTGGCAAACAAATACTAGCATACCATTCTGCATTAACCGTTCTTTGTCCTTCAAGAGGAATAGTCGCAACATGGCCGGTTTTGGAGATAAACGTGGACCATTTTTTTTGCAACTCGTAACGAACAATTTTTGTTGGCTTTAACTCATTTTCAAACACCCAAACTCATGACTGGTTTTTTGTTTCGGGTTTGTACGCGTATATTCAGGATTCGTCAACTGATACGATGTTGTATACAGCATTTGAGGATCCTACGTGGAATCTTTCGAGAGTTCTGACGCACCAAGTAACGCGAGCCGCTTTTTGCTCTTCACAGAGAGAATGCGGTATCCATCGGGAAAACAACTTTTTTTACACCTAATTGTTCATGCAAGATTATTTGTATTTGACTCATGCCAATGTCTAAAGATGCCTTAATTTCGCGGTATGTCACATGTCGATTTTCCTCAATCAGCTTACGCACAGCATCAACGTTTTCTTGAGTGACTGCAGTTTTTGGACGACCTTGACGGGGATCATCACTGAGCTTGACTCGTCCACGTTGAAATTTAGTAAACCAGCGATAAATTGTGGGTTTGGATGGGGCTTCATCACCAAATGCAGAAATCAACCGGCCAACATACTGTTTTTGTGTTAAACCACTTCGAAAGTCATAATAAATCATCGCTCTTGAATTTTCTCGAGTCAATTCTATTTTCTCAACGACTAAACAATTTTGACAAAACATTGTGACAAGATCGAGAATCTTTTTTTGAATAAATAATTGGTATTCGATTTTTAAAACCAAGGAGTTTTCAATTAAAAAAGATTTTAATCATGACAGGAACAGTGGAAATATTCCATTCCCGATACTTTTAGTGCAGCCTAGTATTATAAACCGAAAGGTCTGAGAAATTCAAAAAAAATATTTTGAAGATATATGAAGTTCAGGAAAGATGAAGGGTGAGGTCAGCGCGGTGGCCATTTTCTTGTTCTAAAACTCAGAAATTAGAGAAGACCTGTGCCCAGCAGTGGGACGTATGTAGGTTGTAACTTCACTTCTATCAAAATAATACAATTCTTAAAGTAGCATTAGTCTCTCAACCCCTAACGGTCTCATGAGACCGCGGCCATATTCCATCAAATCCCTAGCGGTCTTCGAGGACGCACTCAGCCACAGCAATTTAACCCATAAAAACTTATAATAGAGACTACTTTTCTATGAAGAAGTTTGGCATTATATAATCAATATGAAATACTCTATCCTCTAGTGCAGTAAAAAAAAACTGTTATCCTATGAATATTTATATATAATCTAAGTTTTTTTTATTTTTCTAGTGTTTTAGTATAGTGTTTTGTTATAAAATCGTAATGAAAGTTTTTGTGTGATTATAATTTATCTTTTTACGTAAATAATTTCGAGTAATATATATTGAAATAATTGTGATTTTCACGCTGCCGACATTCGCTTGGTATGTTTTTTTTGTTAATAAAATATTTTTGTAATGAAGTAAAACCTGCTTTTGTTTAGACCACAAGATAGAAAATTTTGTAAAAAATTATAATGCTAAACTTCTTTATAGAAAAGCAGTCTCTAAATATAGGTTTTAATGGGTTTAAGTGTTGTGGGTAAGTGCGGTCGCATGCGACCGCTCGGGATTTGCCGGGCGCATGCGACTGCATGGGATTTTTATGGCACTTGAAGGGATAGGGGTGATGATGGTAAGTTAAGTGATGGTAGTGGCACATTGGAGGGAAGTGCTATTTATGCTAGTAAGGTAACTAATAATATGTTTTGTAATGATACAATACCAACTAGATGTCGGGTCGGCGCAAGAAATCCATCTCAGTAAATAAGAGCGCACATGAGACTTGAGCTCTTGCACGTGAGAGTGTAACTCGGAAGGCAATAACGGGAAAAAGAAATTTATTTGTTATAATTTAAGGTTGATTTCACACTAAATGTTATTTAATTTATGTCTTTTCATAGTTTATATTCATGCAGACAGTATTTAGCTATGATTTTGTACGTGACCCGTTATCTAGTTGGTATTGTTGATCGAAGAATAATTCCTTATAATTTCGCGAATACTGCACATTGAGTAAAACTTATTTTACGTATTTTATCGAGGTTATTTTTACTTATTATTAATTCTGATTTTTTTTTAATTTAAGTGACAAACAAACTAACAGTCCACCCGTTGTTAAGCTTCTGTAGTCCATAGATCTGCAGGCAATTTCAATCAAAGACGGCTACAGATACGTTGTTATCTATTAGAACTAAGATATAATGCCTTACAGCCCGTAATTGTAGTCTACGGGCTCTCTGTACTATTCAGAAGACCCTGGTCTAAAAGACAACACAGCATTGCAAGTATACCAAGAAAATTTGTCCGAAATTCCCGACATTTCAGATGATTTATGGCACCCTTTGTCATGTGAGAACTCAGGTGTTTGAAATTCTAATATCACGGTAACAAAGGCCAGATTTAACTTTTGAATATTAATTTTTGGTCTGATCTGACTGTAGAGAACCGGAGACCGTTTTTACTGGAAATAGGCGTTCCATCTCAGTCTTCATGGGTGACAATGTATCTGTATTTTGATTCTCAATTGAAGATAAATGTAGATGTGTATTGGTCACAGCATCCACTTACCATCAGGTGCACTGTGTGCACGTTTGTCATCCTTATTCTTTAATAAAAGCTACGTAAAACGAGCTTACTACTTACTAATGTCATGAAATCTTGGGAAATAAAAGTTGAAATTAAACGCGAAAAAATTTGTAAAATTGTTTTTAATTATTAATTTATTTCGAATGCGAATCTTAATTAATTAATTTTCATTTTATTAATTATAACGAAATTTAGTAAAGTAACTCTTGAATTCTATTAATGCAATATAAATATGTATATACTAATTTTATTCAAACAGAATTGTTTTTGATATTTTATCGAGAGTAATCGTAGCTTAAGGTCAGAAGCTGTTATGTATCTATTTTCAAAGTATGTTAATAATTTGAAAATTACTTTACAGTAAAGTGATACTTTTTGATGTAGCGTCTTTGAAAAATTAAAAATGAAATATTAAAATGTTGCTACGATATTTCAGGCAGGCGTTTTAAATATTTTTTGCTCATTTTACTGGTGTCGAATATCATAAAGTTATGACAAGCCTGTTGTTAAATATTAGAGCTCTTATTTAACTTGCTTTTTAAATTGAGATTTTTTTCAATAACGCAAAACACATATTTTTGTACGTACACTATAATTACGCATATCCTCGAGAAATCGTATTGGAGAGTTTTTACATCTGTAAAATATGATTTTTAATATGTTTTTCAACGTGATCCCTACTGCAAGAATCTTTTTTTATAATGATTTCTTATATTTACGCGAACACTACACATTGAAGTAACACTAGTTTTTACGGAATTTATCGCGTATATTTAACTTTTTAAATACCCGACGTTTCGAGAGCTTTACAGCACCCATGGTCACGGGAAGGACTGAGATATTCAACGTCCAGATGTCATAGTTAACCGCGGTTACCATAGATTAAAATTTAACTTTTGTTCCGATCTACACAGTATGAACTTATGGTATCATGAAGTCTTGTAGTTATATGCTTGGGTTGCGATTTAATTTTATTTATTATAGGATCCCAAGCAGATGGTAGCACCCAGCCATCTTCTCTATTGAAATTAGGATGTTTTTTGATTTCAATAGCCTCTCGAATTATCCTTGGAAGAAATCGGTGTTCTTTAGCGAGGATTTGTGGTCTATCAAATCTGATGTAGTGACGGGGGGCGATCCTGTACGTGTTCACAGACTGCAGACTTCCCGGAGCGTCGATTCTTCACATCAGCTTCATGTTCTTTAACGCGGGTTTTAATTGATCTTTTAGTTTGTCCTATGGTCCTATGGATGGAAGCGCGTTTCAAGATGTAGCCAATCTTGTCAGTGACTCCTCTAACATATGGCAGTACAGCAGGTACACGCTCGACTGTGGCCGGTTTCACTCGTTCTCTGTGACGTAGGCGCGGGAACCGAAGCTTGTTGTCATGCAAAACTTGCTTGACGTGTTGGAGCTCGGCAGCCAGGTGTTTACTGTCACAGATCCCTCGTGCTCTCTGAAACAAAGATTTACCCATGGTAGCTAACTGTGAAGGATGGTAGTGAGAATCACCGTTTAAATATCTATCTGTATGGGTCTTTTTTCTATACACAGTATGGCTTAAGGTGTTATCAGGATTCCGAATTACTAACACATCTAGAAAAGCTAAGGAATTGTTTGCCTCTAACTCCATTGTGAACTGAATTTTAGAATTTATAGAGTTAAGATGGTTTAAAAATGCAGTTACTTTATCTAACGGTAGAATTGTGAAAGTGTCGTCTACGTACCGCTTGTAGAATCTTGGATTTATGGGAGAAGTAAGCAGGGGTTTCTCCTCAAAGTCTTCCATGAATATGTCAGCGACAA